AAGACAAAGCAAAATCAAATGAGGATTGGTGTACTGTACAAGTAAATTGTGGCTTTTAAGAAATAGAAGTTAATAATTCTAAATACCCGAATAGACTCATTTCTATGTTAATTGCTTTATAATTTTCCAAAAAAAACACAATTTATCTTTTCAACCAAGATCTCCCAATATCCGTCATTTGCCAAGCGCCGACCCCCATCATTTTTTGTTTAGATTCCTGAAAATAATATTGTCAGTGGCCACATAAAGAAAAAAAAACAAAAATAAAGAGTTTTGGATGTCAAGAATTCACATAAATTGTGGAATAATGAATGAGTTTGTCATGTGAGGCCCACAAAACTGGGAACTTTTGCCAAGTTTTTGAGCACAAAATCCGCAAGGTGAACTATTTGTAAAATAGCGGTTTCAAATTTTGCGTTCGGTGCATAAGTACTTTGAGGAAGGTCAAAAATGTTAGCCTTGCATTTGAATTTAATCCTATTCAAATATAATACCAGTTCTTCTGGATTTGCTTACATTTTAGTATGTATTTGCGTCTCTTCTTCTAAAAAATAATCCCAAATAAATTGTTCCTCTTCACAAGTAAATACTGGATCAGTTCTGCATGAAAAAAGAAATATATAAAATCGGAGGAACTATTACACAACACCATGTGCTAAAAACGATTCATCATTACAGAATGAAATTGACACCTCACATCTAAACCTATATCAATATGTATTACAAAAATTCAATATCTCTGTATGTAAAAATATTCACTACCCCTTCAATTACATTATATCCGTTACTACCGTGTTCAATTGAATAAAAATGTATAGTACATAGATAATTCGGTAGATAATTGAAACAAGACTTTGGAAATTTTTGAACATTATAATTTGCCACACCACAGGCGTAGGTACGCACTGATGGAATAGAAATGTTGTTCCTGTGCCAGGGATTGCTTCCAAAGAAATCCTTCAAAATCCCTGCCAAAATATGTCTATAGATTATAATTTACAACTACATTATCTAGAAGCCAATTTCACTATTCGAATTTCTTCTACCTTGCCAGTAACCTGAAAATAGTTTTCAAAATGTTTGTCAGTTTATGATACATTTTTATGTTGTGAGTATTTTTCTATGAAGTAAATGAATCATTAGGTAAAATTATGGGTTACATTGAATTTGCCACAAAATATAAAAAATTTGGATCCAATTCATAAAATGTCATGGCCTCGGTTTTGAGAATTTTAATTTGATATCATTAGGCGCCTGGAACAATCCCAAAATTTTAAAAATAATTTTGTATACATAGAATGTGTAATTGCAATCGGCTGGGACAAAGATCTCTAAATTTCTGTATGACATATTTTAAGGTTGCTGAGCCTACTTCCTTAATCCATATAATGATGAAAATCCATGAGTTGATAGATTGAACTTTTTTAGGAGATTTATTGCATAATTTCAAAGCTTCCTGGAAAGTGAACTCATGTCTCCCTGGGTTTTTCGAACATTCAATAATTTTTAAAATAACATTGATTCAAAATACAATATACTAGTTATTAAACAACCTTGGAATATTAGGAAGTTGAAGTTCCAATGTTTGTGTTTGCCAGAAGGCAAAATATCTTACTTCTACGCATCATAGTAACAGAATCCCTCTTTTCTCCGGACACTTTCCGCCAATTTCTTCATAAATCTTCTAGGAATCGGGCCTATCCTTTAATACAGGCCTATCGGATTCTTAACTCTCATAAATCTCCTTATATATGAAAGTTTTTATGTGATTTATGGTCCATAAATTATCATTGATCGCAATCCGATATTATATCTACAATTTATTTCATATTACTAATTGCTTTAAGTAAAAGTATAGATGGTTGCTGATGGTCATTGTATGAGCGAACAAAGTTATCATTTATAATAATAATAATATTTCTATAATAATTGCTTTCACAAAATGAGAGAAATGGAAAATTGCGAAAATTAAATTTAAACTTTTTAGAATCAGACATCAGTGAAAGCAAGTAATTTGAGCAATAGATAAATGAGGTTCAAAATAATAGGATATTTATTCTTAGTTCTTCTATAGTGATGGTGCGACTAGATGTAATCGAAAAGAATATTTTCATTAAAACTCAAAATTTCTGCAAAATCTCGTCTGCAGTTTCCTTTAAATAGATTAGACAGGGGTGTATAAGGTACCACATAGTTTTTCAGACTCAGCATATATCAACAAAACCACAACGGAAATGGCATAGTCCGGACGGTTCTATACCAAAAATGAAATTGACTTTATAGCAACAAATGGAAAAAATATTGTACATGTCACAGTTTAAATAAAGTTTCAATTGGTCGTGACCCCAGACTGGTACGAGCACATGGAGTGAAAAATTTGAGGAAAGAGGTGATCAAAAAATACCAGCACAAGATGGACACCTCTAAAAAACGTAACAGAGTATCAGCTATAAATATAAGATAAATTAAAATCCATAGAAAACCCAGAAACACTAAGTGTGGAAGAGTTTAATCACCGACATTGTAAAAACAACTAGAGCAAAACACAAAAATAAAGGCCACGCAAAGGAGGACACGCTATGAGTGAAAATACCAAGAGGCTTATGAAGGAGAGACGGGAACTGCGAAAGAAGTAGGTACGCAGTGGATCAAGATCGATTTAAACAATTGAGCAAGGAAATATCGAAGGCAGCAAGAAGAGATGTAAGAAATTTCAAGGGAAGTTACAAGAAACCGAGGAACAACACAACATCACTTAGAAACTTTCTCAGAGGAAAGAAAGAATATAACCAAACTAAAGAACGCAAGTGGAGAATTAACATCTAATAAGTCCAAAATACTTAATACAGTTAGGTCATTTCACCAGACATTATATAGCGATCCCGGCACACAAAAAAGAAAAACCATTGCTAAGATACGTGCCAGGGGGGGTTTATTTGAAATGTGCAATTCAAATTCGTCTGACTAAGTCGCATTTTCTAGCATTGAAATACCGGCAAAAATTGCGACTTATTCAGACGTATTTGAATTGCACATTTCAAATAAACCCCCCCAGGTTTGAAGTAAACGACCACCTACAGGTAATGGAAACACTTATAGAAAAATGCATCGAGTATAATAAACCTGTTTTGATCTTTGTTGACTACGAGAAAGCATTCCACACTATCAATCAAAAGCAAATGCTACAATGCTACATGCATTAGCAGAATGTCGATCGATTATAGATGTGCATATGTCAAATTACATGAATGTACCAACGATTTTCATATTAAAAGAGACGTAAGACAGGGCGACGTTATGTCACTCAAACATTTTTCTGGTTCTGGGAGATGTTTAGAAAGGTAGACTTTGGGGACCAGTGTATCCTCAGCGTTTCCACTTATGGAGCAGGAACATTGACACTTACAAGAAAATCTGCTGAAAAGATGCAAATGCCTCAACGAAAGATGCAGAGGGTAATGCTGGGCCTTTCATCGAAAGATCGAGTAGCCAATGAAAGATTGCGCCAAATCTCTGGGGTGACAGATGCAATTGAAAATAAAAAGCAGCATTGAAGTGGAACTGGGATGGTCATGTGGCAAGATTGACCGACGGTCGAAGGACAAGGAAAATTCTGGAGTGGAGATCACGCCAGGACGCCTTCAGAAACCGTGGCCGTCCACCAAAGAGGTGGACTGACGACAAAGGACCAAGAGCAACTGGATGAGTACAATACAGGATCGGAGACTATGGAACACTCTAAGGGAGGCATATGTTCAGCAGTAGATGATGATGATGATGATGTAACAACAGCTGCTAAGCTTTCCAGCAAAAAAGTCTACCTCCCTCTCCTAAAATGGAAGTCTAAATCACGCCCAAGTACTTTGCCGATCATGCAACTATTTCTGCATTAAGGAGAAGCTTGATTTTTGTTAAATCGTTGAGTATCATAACTAACTATATATTGACCTTCAAAACATCTGTAACAACTAAAATGTTTGGGTTATCTACATAGTTGATTAAAAGAGACATTTCCTCCGGTAATATCTGTTGCTAAATAATTCATGTAGATTAGAAGGGAATACCTGTCTCTCACCATATAATTGTTTTCCTATTTATGCGAGTGAATGTGAGGGTCTAGGAAGTCAAATCTTTGAACAGATATAAAGAGAATCCAAATGCAAAATTTCTAATCTCTAATGTATTATTTGTCTCGTGTATGGACCTGGTTCAGTATTATAGAAAACCATCAGCTTATTCATTTAGCTCATTTATTATTACTGAATAGTCGATGTTTTTTTGATGGATTGAGGGCCTCGTTTGTATCTAAATGCAATGAGACCCCAGAGTGATCAAGACAAACAACTGGAGTATATTTCGAAGCAACAACTTAGTAAGAAGAAGCTGGTTGTGGAATAATATCTAAAAAATTTATGCTAATTTACAAATATAGAGCTCGTTGCTTGATGGCTGTTATCAACTAACGTGCTTGCGAAATTTGACATAAAACTTGCATTTTCTACGGGATATTCGGTCAGTTTTTCAATTGGTAGCAAATAGCAGAGTGGAACATCCATAGAGTCTCCATACAAATTTCTCATTGCAATCGCTAGCATTAGTCGGCAAAGACATCCAGCACCAACCAGAAAAAAAAATTCCGCACCAGTCTTTCACAGTGGCGCGGGTTTTTCCAAACATATGATCTCGTAACTCTGCAACTGTCATAAATCAGATCACCCCAATCTAATCATTTCCGTGGTAAGTCCCATTAAGATACACCACTTTCTCTTCCACGTCTATATTTTTCCACTCAGAGCCATATTAATTCCATCTATCATTCTCCATCTTCCTACTGCATACCAGCAATACCATGTATCTGGAAATTATGTCCTCTAGATCTATGTCTCTAACTATCCACGCATGCTGTGCTGAGGATATACAAAAAAAGCATGCATTTTTTTAGTGAACAAATAGTTTATTTTAATGATTTAATAACTGTCAAAGGAAATAATATCACACTTTTATAACCGGTAAGGATTAAATCTAGATGATTTAGTAACCTTGGTTCTGATCTTTGAACCAGATGTTTCCTTCTTGGCCTTGTTCTCTCTGGCTTTAAACATTTTTGGTTCCTTCCTAATAGTAATGTTTTTTTGAACATTCTTCGAATATAACCCAGATGGTTGAGTAGATGATCGTTCTACTGTTGTCGTTACTCCTGGTCTTGCTAGTTGAGCTACGATCTCTTCTTTTTCTTCTTTGATGGCAATTCTAACTTTTTGCTTCAATATTGGATCTCCTCGTGCCATGGTACTGAAGAAAGACGAACTTCTCACTGCAGATAGTAACGATTTGGAATCCAGCAGCCTCAAAATAATACACCATACTTCTATGGGCATTTCTGGGAGCAAGCTGACAGTAATAAAAGGAAGCAGAGAATACATGTTGATAGCGCAACGGCAGAAAAAGGAATGACTTTTTGAGGAGTTTGCACCCCTATTTATACCTGCAGAAAGTCACAAACTAGGACAGATTCCTGGAAATATGGGTTTTCTAAGAATTCTACATTTTATGAAATATAAATTAACACCAATTGTCCCGAGATATAATCCCTTATTCCTCCTAGTGACATTCTAGAATCTAGAGCATCCAAATTTATTCCTTATACCTCAAGATCATGATAAATAGGAAGAACACTCTCTGTTGTTCACTTCCAAAGAATATTGCCATAAAAAAAAATACATACACTCAGGACAACGGCACCTTCGAGAACCATCTTCGGGGACAAAATTCAAACTCCTCCATAATTAAAGTATGGCACCGAGAAAAATGAAAAATACTATTTCAATTTAAGTTAAACCGTTAACCGTTTTGTTTTTTGATGCTTGTCACTAGTCTAGAAAAACGTTGATCGGATACCTTTTTTAAAACGCCTATTCTTGTCAATTATTTTTGCACGATAGGATTGCATTGTTTGCAATTATTGTTCCTTCGTGGTCTAGTGATTTTGGTGCTGTAATTTGCAATTTCGATATTATGACTTATATCATACGGGGCAAAAATGTGGCTTTTTAATTAGTCATGTAATAAATTGCACTTTCTTTATTACAAATAATTCCAATTGAATTTTAGAAGAACCCCTCTAAGCCATAATTCTAAATATAGGCAATTCTATTCTATCTAACGGAAAATGGGAGCTTCGTTAAGTTTTTTAGTTTTGAGCAACCATAAAAATCGATTTCCGCAATTTTCTCTGAACATTTCCTTCGAAAATGGGCATAGTAAACGCAGAGGATAGAGACACAACATACACCCCCAGGGGCGGATTTTATATCAGAATTTTTTAGGGAAGTAGCCTATAAATCACTTTTATTACCTGGGGGCCGCAATTACATTTTATTACATATAGCTGGATATAATGTTATATGAGCACTTTTTTTACTTTATACTTTCTTGAATATTTTCGCAAAATTGTAAACAGATGCTGATGCTGAGCCAACAAAAACCAATTACTGAATATGTTAGATTTAAGTTCTAATTTAGAAATACTCGGAAAACACAAAAGTAATTTCACAACGCCTACGGACAGAGAGCCACTGAATTTTTGAACCAAATTGTGCTTTGCCATTGCAGCTTGATTAAAGTGCTTTCTATAAAGCGCACGTCCTTTATCCTATTAAAACCCTTCTACCCTTCCTTGTTTCTGAACACCCTCATTTCCCTCGATTTTCACGTTTTCCTCGACACAGTTTTCTTTCCAGTCATGCGTGACGTCGACCTGTCTGGGGTTAATAATAGGCCTCCCTGGTAGAAATCTGAAAATTCGCTGTGGAATCCCGGATTAAACCGAATATGGCTTCGTTGCTGACTATAGACTGAGTGAATCGATACTGGAGGGATTTTGGGGTTTACACGATTTTCGTTGTTTATTATTTTTGGGGTCAATGGAGGGAGCGAATTTTTCAAGGGGCTTACACTAGATTTGGAGGAAGTTTGATTTGAAAAGCTTCCAATTTATTTATAAATTATTATTCTAAAACCTCTGCTTCAATTGATCAAAGATTTATAAATAGCATTTATATATAAATATTAGTGCTGAGGACATAAAAACAACAATTATTATCAATGTCAAAGTGCAATAAGTTCAATAAATTATTAATTTTGTTATGGGTATTGTTATGCTATGAAGCAAGCTTTCCAGTTCAGACAAATGTATATAAACAATAATCATTTAAATGTTTTTTGTTTGTTTTTGTTTGGTTTTGATAAAAAGAAGATGCACTGATAGTATTTTGTATGAAAATTATCAAGTGGCGTCGCAAAATCCACAAATCATGTATTGATTTATTATTAAAGTAGATGTTTTTTTTTTCATTTAAAAAAAATTTCTTGCACAAACCATAAACATTTTGGACTTTTCTTAGGAATTTTATCAAGGCCTAAATTTCTTTATTTCTTTTTAACTCACTTTCACAGGTCCATTATCAACGGATTTTTGTCAAAATAACTTGGTAGCCGTGGATGTTACACATGCTGTTTGATGCGATTTGCAGTGCGTTGCGATTTAGGTCAGGATAATGTATATTTCTAGATACATTTCTGGAAGTTACATATTTTGCTTTTGTGATTGAACACTTTATTTTTTCGGCCTCCCGTAGGCCTGGCGCCCAATTATAATAACATCACATAAAGAATCCACGCCCATTACCTTCAAAGCCCTTTTAAACTGAGCAGCTGTGGAGCAACCTAAACAAATAATATTTAGGGCGGGTATTATAAAACTGCTTTGACAGTTAACTTGAAGTTAACTTTTTGAATTACATGTAATTCCAGAAGTTTTATAATACCCGCCCTTAATCACTCAATATCATGTCAACCAATCCATTTCATGAAATGGATTCGATTGGTTCTTTTCCGACTTCGACTAACATTATGGTTTGTGTATAAACAGGATAGTTTTTATTTTTCCTCTCCATTCATTATAGTCAATGGCAACAAAACCGTTGACTGCCACACCTGAACAGTCAGGATTTATCTATAGGGCTAATTTCTTGTAAGAACAATTCTTTGAAGGAACACTTGGCCTATAAAAGCCAAGAAAGGAGTAGAAAAACAACACTTACACTTATTCACTAATAGTAATAACTTTGATAATAATAAATTTTGTACAAACTTTGCAATTCACAAATGTCAAAAAATCAGTGATTGCAAAGAAAACCACACTCTACTTGTCTTGTAGAGACCAGAACAAACTTGGCGCTAGAGCAGGCACTTGATTGAAGACAAAGAAAAATATATCTAATATAGAAGTCAGAGAACTATAAGAATGTGAGTAAAAGCCTGGAATAATTCCAATTCGCCAGAGGCTTAACCGAGGGATTAAACCTCAGTCAACTGGCAATCTGAAGATAAAGGTTGCATCATCATGTCAATAGTGTGGTTTTAACACGTCTTAACTTGTACCTTCTGAATACTGCGTAGTTTGGAGAATTTTATAAATTTCTTTATTTCCAGAGAATAATTTTAATTTTGAAAAGGATTCGAAATACGTGATTTCCAAACATTCTCCCCCCGTTGGCGTGACAACGACAAAAGTGAGATGAGCATGAAACAAAAACAAAGTTAATATAAATAATTTAATTCAAGACATCAAGAATGGGTAATGGGCATACTTTAGTAATGGGTCTTGTAAAGATTCCATTTTTGGTTTGAAGTTTCACTACCCTTACCTTGTGGTCAGAACCGGGAATGGCTTCCAATATTCTAGCCATAGGCCAAATTAGAGGAGGTATATTGTCTTCCTTTAATAGGACAATAGTATTGGGTTTAGGATTTTCCGTTTCAACATGCCATTTGGAACGTTTCTGCAAATTGCTCAGATATTCCACTGACCACCTTTTCCAAAAGTTCTGCTGCAACTTAGTGCAATGTTGCCAGCGAGACAATTTGATTTGATTTGATATCACTCAGATCTTTTTCTGGGAAGGACATAAGGCTTGATCCTATAAGAAAGTGCCCAGGGGTAAGGCATTCTAGTTCCGAAGGATCATCCGAGAGGGGACAAAGACGTCTCGAATTCAGTATTGCTTCTATTTGGGACAAAACTGTAGTAAGCTCTTCAAAAGTTAAATGACTATTGCCGATGATACGTGTACACAGTAAAAAATCTAGTGTTAATTTTAACACGCAAAAGTGGTACATATAGGTCCACACTCATGCGTGTTAAATTCACCACTGATAAAATGTGGTAAAATTTGGTAAATAGTATTTAAAAAATAGATTCATTTGACCCATTCTTGCGTGTTAAATATATTTTGGAGAACGTAAAAAGTACACTTGACTAAGTGTTAAATTAGGTTTTAATCAAAGGTAAATTTTATTTACCTAGTGTTAAACATATTTTGGTTAATGTAAAAAAACACAGTATTGAGTGTTAATAGTATATTACAATCCGAGACGGAAAATACTTCATTGCTGGTCGAGAGGTTATTATAGTTTATCGAGACGCGAAGCGTCGAGATAAACTCAACCTCGAGACAGAAATGAAGTTTTCCGTCGAGGTTTGTATACTTTTTTATTTTCAACCCTTAATTTTCTGATGCAAAAACTAAAGATTCTGTTATACGAAATTTTCATATAGTGTAAAACTGGCCTTAGAAAAAAATATTTCACTTTTTTTGTCAATGTCATCAATTTTGACGATCTCAAAGGCCCTGTAAAGGCCAAAACAAAAGACGAAACCACAGGAAACCGCAAAATCAACAACCATAGATAAGATCAACAACGCCTTAACGACGGTAGTTTTCGCTCAGTATTTTTGCGGAAATAATAGATTTTCACTAGATTTCTCCCCGTTCTCCCCAAAGAAATGATTTCGGAAAGTGAAGATGAAGCGATGGATTGTACCCCACCTGAATTAAAAGAAGCAGCAGACAGGATTGGAGAGAGTTTGCTTCCAGCAAAAAGCAAATTTCGGTACGAAAAGGCTTTTCAAATATTCGAAGCATGGTGTAGCCAGAAAGGAACGAGAAATACTGCCTCGGAGACCGTTTTGTTGGCGTATTTTGGCGAATTATCTAAGGAAAAGAAGCCTTCGACTTTATGGTCGACTTACAGTATGTTGAAAACCATGATTAAATTGAAAGAGAAAGTTGATATCTCCAATTACGCAAAACTTATAGCTTTTTTGAAGCGGCAAAATCTGGGCTTTCAGCCGAAAAAGTCGAGCGTTTTTTCCAGAGAAAACATTAACGAGTTCCTCACGAAGGCAGCTGAAGAATTCATTAGCATCAAGGTAGGTTTTCAAAAAATATACAAAGAAGATAAAAATGCGAAAATCAAAATGATTTTCTGTATGCTATAGCTAGGTTACCCATTTTATTTTTATCTGGTTTCAGGTAGCGCTAATTGTTGGTGTGTCGGGTGCATGTAGGAGCGATGAACT